GACATTGTTTCGTTCTGCTGTGCATGGGGTCATTATGAGTCGGTTCCGACTCGATGGCACCTGACAACAACAACAACATGTTAAAATGTTATTTCTCTTCTGCGTAAAGATTTGAGATCCTAAATTTTATTCTTAGAGTGAAAATGGTCAGTTTTTCTGGTTTAGGACTTCATTAGTGTTCTGTTGTATATATTATCGGTTTGGCATTCTTTTTCTGCCAAGAAACTCACAACTGTTTATTAGGGTACCTGTCTGGAGGTCTTGACAATTAGAAATTTATTTCTGTGCACATGATTTCCTTTCTTGTTGCATTCCCTATCAGCCACACTACGTTTTCTCCATTTGACACTAGGAAAGAGCTCAGGAACTCATGGGACTTAATCTGGAGCTATTATTTTGGGGCCAAAGAGAGTCAAGAATCCTTGGAAGGCTCAGGCGTAATATAATTACATTCAAAGAAATCAGCTTGAAAACATGTCTTTTACTTTGGGAGATGACTTTTTAAAATTTTCCTCTGTTCTCTCACGCCTTCTGTTTGTGGAAAAAGCCTTCCCCGTTTCCCCTTTACCGTTACACATGCATTATTGTCTACACTCGAGTCTAGTCCCATCCTTACCACTCCTCGTGGTTCATCTCCAAGTGAGCTTCTTACACTTTGACTTTTACCAAACTGCTGAAATAACCACATGCCTCAGGCTTTGTTTCCTCAGAGTTACTTGCTCCTCTTCAAAGTTCCTTCTGTTTTGTTTTATATTATGAAACTCCACTTGAATTTATTGGTTCAGTCTCTCAACAGAGTAATAATGTACCAAAGTTGTCCAGTGAACATATTCGGATGCAGCTGAAGAATGGCTGTTGGTCATCGATCTTGAGAGAAATTTTTGAATTCCATAGCGGTGAAGATCATCACAACAAACAGGAAACGTATTTGAGGTATCATACCCCCGGCATTAAACAGTACGTCTGTTTCACCGTACCAGGATACTCTGTGTGTATTGGAGGTATCATACCCCTGGCATTAAACAGTACGTCTGTTTCACCGTACCAGGATACTTTGTGTGTGTGTGTGTGTGTCCGCATGTGCGTTTATAAACCCAGCTGTGCATGAATGTATTACCTAATTTTCTCAACTTAGCATTTCAATAAATATGAATCATGCATTAAGTATTTGAGACATATTTCACTTATACGCAATATCAGACATCCTCCATTAGTGCAATATGAGTGGCCATAATGCTACCACTCTTGGAGAAATGATTTATAGCCTGTGTAACATGATCCAAGTCACGTCAGAAATTACAAAATCAATATATGTGGTAATTTTGAAGTGTTTGACCTACAATTCTAACATAATACTCCCTATTTTTAACAGAAAATATATGGTCGACAGCTTCCATGCAAGTAAAGAAGTTGAAATAAAGAAATACAAAGAAGGTGATCAATGCTGGGTTACACACCGTCCCTTACTGAAAGAAACTCTTGCTGGAGTATATCATTCTGAGTTTTGTGAAGGTGGTGATCACACATTCAAAAATTCCGTCAGAGCTCACACTGGATACAAACCATGCCAAAGTAAAGAACTCGGTGGAACCTGCAATTGTTCCTCTTACCCAAAACCTCACTCCAAATCAGTTATTGGACAGGAAGTTTGTAAGTTTCAGGACCGTGGAAAACCGTGTAGCTATTCCTCACCTGTCATTAAACATGTAAGAACTCACAGTTCAGAGAGTCTGTATGTAGGTAAAGAATGTTCAAAAGCCTGTAGAGACTGCTCATCCTTCACTGAACATACAAGAAGTCACAGTGGAGAGAGGCCTTATGAATGTAAGGAGTATGGGAAAACTTCCAGTCACTCCTCAACACTATGTGGTCCTATAGGATGTCACAGTGGAGAGAAGCCGCATGAATGTAAGGAACGTCTTAAAACTTCCAGCTGGTCCTCACACCTCACTGCACATAAAAGAACACACAGTGGAGAGAGTCCTTATGAAAGTAAGAAATGTGGAACAGTCTTTACATTTTCCTCAGTAATAACTAAGCATATAGGATCTCACAGTGGAGAGAAGCCTTATGAATGTCAGGAATGTGGGAAAGCTTTCACTCACTCGTCAACCCTCAGTGCACATGTAAGATCTCACAGTGGAGAGAAGCCTTATAAATGTAATGAATGTGGGAAAGCCTTTAGTCAGTCCTCAATCCTAACTCGACACCTAAGATCTCACAGTGGAGAGAAGCCTTTTAAATGTCAGGAATGTGATAAAGCCTTTAGTAGATCATCATACCTCAGTATACATAAAAGAATACACAGTGGAGAGAAGCCCTATAAATGCAAGGAATGTGGAAAAGGCTTTTATGAGTCCTCAATCCTAACTCAACATATAAGATCTCACAGTGGAGAGAAGCCTTATAAATGTCAGGAATGTGATAAAGCCTTTAGTCGGTCCTCATACCTTAGTGCACATAAAAGAACTCACAGTGGACAGAAACCTTACAAATGTAATGAATGTGGGAAAGCCTTCACTCAATCCTCAACCCTCAGGGTACATAAAAGAATGCACAGTGGAGAGAAGCCCTATAAATGTAAGGAATGTGGGAAAGCCTTTAGTCAGTCCTCAGTACTTAAGAAACATATCAGATGTCACAGTGGAGTGAGGCGTTATGAATGTAAGAAATGTGGGAAAGTCTTCAGTCATCCCTCAGCCTTCAGTTCACATAGAAGATGTCACTATGCAGAGCAGCGTTATAAATGCAAGGAATGTGGCAAAGCCTTCAGTCAGGCATCAAGTCTGACTAAACATATAAGATGCCACAGTGGAGAGAAGCCATACGAATGTAAGGAATGTGGCAAAGCATTTAGTCTGTCCTGGAACCTCATAGTACATAAAAGAAAACACAGTGGAGAGAGGCCTTATCAATGTAAGGAATGTGGGAAAGCCTTTAGCGACTGCTCAACCCTCACTAAGCATAGACGAACTCATAGTTGGGAGAAGCCTTACAAATGTGAGGAATGTCATAAAGCTTTCAGCCGGTCCTCATACCTCAGTGTACATAAAAGAATGCACAGTGGCCTGAAACCTTATAAATGTAATGAATGTGGGAAAGCCTTCACTCAATCTTCAACCCTCAGGGTACACAAAAGAACACACAGTGGAGAGAAGCCCTATAAATGTAAAGAATGTGGGAAAGCCTTCCATCAGTCCTCAGTACTTACAAAGCATGTGAAGTGTCACAGTGGAGACAGGCTTTATGAATGTAAGCAGTGTGGGAAAACCTTCAGTTACTTCACAGCCTTTCGGGCACATAGAAGATCTCACTGTGGAGAGAAGCAGCATAAATGCAAAGAGTGTGGCAAAGCCTTCAGTCAGTCCTCAAGTCTGAGTAAACATGTACGAAGTCACAGTGGACAGAAGCCATACGAATGTAAGGAATGCGGCAAAGGTTTTGGCCAGTCCTCACACCTCACTATACATGAAAGAACACACAGTGGAGAGAGGCCTTATCAATGTAAGGAGTGTGGGAAAGCCTATACTGACCACTCAACCCTCATTAAACATTTAAGAACGCACAGTGGGGACAGGCCTTATAAATGTCAGCAATGCGGTAAAGCTTTCAGTTGGTCCTCGAACCTCAGTGCACATATAAGATCTCACAGTGGAGAGAAGCCGTACAAATGTGAGGAATGTGGTAAAACCTTTAGTCGGTCCTCACACCTCACTGTACATAAAAGAACCCATAGTGGTAACGTGGTAAAGCCTTTGCTCAATCTTCACCCTTAAGTACACATATGAGATCTGATATTGGAGCGAAACCTCATGAATGTAAGGAATGTGTAAAGTCTTCACTCAGTGCTCATCCCTCATTGTACATAAAACATCTCAGCGTGAGACAACTGTAAATGGTGAGACTGAGTATCTACACACATGTTGCAATGGAGAGCAGCATTATGAATGTAAGGAATGTGGGAAAGCATTCAGTCTGTCCTTAGGACTCACTTTACATAAAAGAACACAGTGGAAAGAAGCCTTATAAATGGGAAATCTAGAATGACTAAACGTACAAGACACCACAGTGCAGAACAGTCTTAGGAATTGAAGGGATGTTGTAAAACTTTAGTCAGTTCACATACCTTTGTTGTGTGCCATCAAGTCGGTTCCAATCCATAGCGACCCTGGATAGGGTTTCCAAGGAGCAGCTGGTAAGCTTCAACCGCCGACCTGCATAGTCCATGAAAGAATACAGTGGAGAGAAGCTCTGTGAATGTGGAAAAGCCTTTGCTCAACCCTCAACCTGTGCACATCTGGGGTCTCACAGTAGAGTGAGGCCTCATGACTGCATGTAAGGAATGTTGTAAAGCTTCTAGTCATTCCTCATACGTCACTGGAAATACAAGAGCTCACAGTGGAGGGAAGCTTTATACAAGTAAGGATTTAGGGGAAAACTTTTCTCTGGCCTCAATGCACATACAAGATTTTACAGTGAAAACAGACCTTCTGAGTATAAGAGATGTGGAAGAGTCTTTAGTCGTCCCTCAAGCCTAATTGCCCAAGGAGGAGTTTTCAGTGCAGACAAACCTTGTGTATATAAGGGATGTGGGAAAGTCTGCAGTCAGCCCTGACAATTCACTGCACACAATGGAGAGGAGCCGGATTATACACAGAGTGAAGGATGGAACGTGCGCCCCCCCTCAGGTGGCAAGGTACTCAACATACGACAGAGTGCTGCCTCCTCAAACTAAAATTAACCATAATGATGTGAGTGGAGGGAGCTCAAATAAAAATGTGGAGAAACAGCGGCAAACATCTATTCAAAATAAGAACGTGAAATCTACAAATTATGAATCTAGAATATTGGAAATTGTCAAAAATGCGATGGAACACATAAAGAATGACAGCCTGGGCATTAGTCATCTGAAATGGACTGGTGTTGGCCATCTTGAATCTGACAATGATATGGTTTACTATGCCAGGAACAACACATTCGAGAGTCAAAAAGAACATTTCAAGATCTGTGACAGGACAGTACCCATTTACCTACACGGAAGACCAGTGAATAAAACTATTATTCGAATCCATGAGCCAATCACTAAAGCCAGTGATGGATGATACCTTTGAAGAATTCAGCAAACTTCTTCAATCTGCAATTGATCAAACGTGCAATCAACATGCATTGATAATTACTAGTGATTGAATGTGAAAGCTAGAAACGATACGGAAGGATCAGAAGTTGGAAAGCAGCCTTGGTGATAGAAGTGATGCTGGAGATTGCATGAGACAACTTAACGTGAACTTTACTCTTTACACATGGACTGCACCCATTGGCATCCACAGGAACCTGACTACATCTGTTGTAAAAGACTAGAATCAACTGTCACTGTCCTCCTCCTGGGAACCATTGGTCTTGTCAAGAAGACCTGTTGTATTCAAATAGTCTATAGGCCACTGAGCCACTGCACCTCTCGAGTAAGACTCATAGTATCACTTTGGTGAATGTTGTTGTTGTTGTTAAGTGTCGTTGAGTCGGTTCCGACCCATAGCGACCCTGTACAGGGTTTCCGAAGCTGTAAATCTTTACGGGAGCAGAAAGCCTCATCTTTCTCCCACGGAGCAGCTGGTAGTTTCGAACTGCTGTCCTTAAGGTTCGCATCCCGATTCGTAACCACTACGCTATGAATGTAGTTGCCCAAATTCATCTCCAAGCAAAGAGATGCCTGCTTGTGTCTTTGTGGTTTGTGAAATGGCTAGTTGTTGTTGTTGTTGTTAGGTGCCATCAAGTCGGAACTGACTCATAGCGACCCCATGCACAGCAGAACCAAACACTGCCCGATCCTGGGCCAACCTCACTACCGCTGCCACCCTTGACGCCATCATGCTGCTACCTGGCCGATCCATCTCATTGGGGGTCTTCCTCTTTTTCTCTGACCTTCCATCTTACCAAGCATGATATCCTTCTCTAGCGACTGTTTCCTCCTGACAATATGTCCAAAGTATGAGAGACAAAGTTTGGCCATCCTGGGCCTCTAAGGAGAGCTCTGGCTGCACTTCTTCCAAAACGGATCTATTGGTATGAAATAGCTAGAGGGGAGGTATATTTTGGTTCCCATTGGAGAATATGTATGCTTTAGCATTCTCTTCGTCTCCCCTCAGACCCATCCTGGACTGTGAAAACAGGGATTTGATAAAGTAAAGGTCAAGATGGGGTCTAGTCATCTCTTCCCATATGACAGTAGAACTGTTGGGGAGGGCTCTGACAATCACTGCACTATTGGCCTCCTTATAGGGAAGCCATTAGTTGATATTTACATATGTACAAAATCTGCTGGCAGGTTTTTTGTTTTTGTTTTTAAATAGGTCATTAATTTATTATGAATACACAATTTGGAAAGAATTTGAAAGCCGATTGTTCCCTTTAGGGGCAGTAATATCCATAGGTTTCTGTTACCGCTATTATTATGCTTAGCTAACAATGTTGTTGTTGTTGTTAAGTGCCGTAGAGTCGGTCCGACCCATAGCCACCCTGTACAGGGTTTCCGAGGGTGTAAATCTTTACGGGAGTAGAAAGCCTCATCTTTCTCCAATAGTTTTCCAGTAATAATTCTAAAGTCAGCTATGGCTCAACTCACCTCTGAATTACCAACTCCTAATTTAGTGTTATTGTAGTACTAGTAATGAAATATTTGATCTCTCACATTAGATAGCAAAACCTAACAAGCCTGTACAAGGTACACTACTCTTCAATTAAAAATTAGCTGCTTGTAACATCTTGTGCCCTTTGGTAACTCAAACATTTAAACAATTTTCTCATGGAGGCACCAGCACGTGTTGTTAAAGGGGGTAGGGGAGACCTCTAATAGATACCTGTCCCTACCCTGGGAGCTTGGAGTCGTCTTGCCTTGAGACAGAGGAGGGACTATTAGACTTTTCCTGCCTATTTCAAGCCTAGCCCATGGAAACGTGACTATATTTGTATGGCACCCTTAACCAGACGTATTTTATTCCATCAGCCAGTTCTTGGCTGCAGTGTTCCATGGTTGAAGGGCCTGTAATCTCAACAACTGGTGGTGGCTGTGTGCTGTGAGGTCTGTTCCGACTCATCGTGACCCCCTGTATGGGGTTTATGGGAGCAGAAAGCCTCATCTTTCTCCTGTGGAACAGCTGGTAGTTTTGAACTGCTGACCCTTAGGTTCACAGCCTGACTCGTAACCACTAGTACGGTGGTTCTGAAGCTCTAAAACCCTTTTTAAGGTTCTCACGGTTTGGGACACATTAAAACCTTCTTCTGTTGTGCTCAAACTTAGAGCTTATTTTGAGAGGCACATCCCTTATACTGCAGTAGCACTGCCCAGCGCATCCCTGAAAAACCGAGACACGTTCCCCGGCTGCTGGGAGTGATGGTTGTTGATTACTTTCTTGAAATTCCTTTCTAGGAACTGCCCTCAGTGGAAGAGACCTGCCGTACTTCTACTCAGGGCCCCTGGAGGACAGGGTTTCCAGTGGCAGGGAATAAAAGTCATCCCAGTTCAGAGGGTCCAGCAGCTGCTGGCAGGCTTTCGTAGGAGCTCTACAGTGGCCCGGGTTTGAAGAGGTGCTTTAACAATTTATGAAAACACAGTCAAACCAGTGATAAAATCCCTCTCTCTGCACCTACTTGGTAGGCCCAAGAGTTTTCTCCCAGTTTGGACGCCTACTACGGCCCTGTTACCTGTTTCCCACTCTGCTGTGTGGAAGGAACGACTTGTAGAAAGAAGGTCAGAGTAGAAGGTGAAGTGTTTCCATCACCACAAAGGGCTCCATGCAAAGAATGTAAATGGTATGGAAACCTGGGAGAGCAGGCCACGTGTCTTACCATGACAAGCTGGAGGAAAGCTGGTGTTCTTTGCATTCAGAGTTCAAATCCAGAAAGTCCACCCACAGACTGCGTATTCTTGGTAGAAGCAGGTAAGCGACCTCTGAGCAGTGTGAGCCTGAGAAAAAGCATGGGACTAGAGATGCAGAAACAGGCCGGGTGTGGCATTGTAATTGGGGGTGTGGCAGGGAGAGTTCTGGAAACAAAGAAGCCAAGTGGTTGCCCTGAGCATATGGGATGGTTTACTATATCGGGTGGGCATCTAGTATCCTTCAGAGACTATCTCTGTATCTTTCTCTTGTCAAAAAGAAACCAAGAGGTGGTCAAAGAGAAAGGTGATTTGTGATCTTCTGGTTAAGTTCCGTCGAGATGATTCTGACCCACAGCGACCCTGAGTTGGGTTTCCAGGGAGCAGCTGGTGAGCTCCAGACACTGACCTTGCAGTTGGACGCATTGGCCCACAGCGCCTCCCCAGGACTCCTGTGCGCTATAATGTGCTACAAAGGGAAGTGGGGGATACCCCCACCTCACTGGTTCCTGATTCAGATTCACCCAGGATGTGGTGATGCCTGGACTCACTTCCTCTATCTGAAGTCAGTATTTAGTACAATGTATATGCTAACAGCACACAGAAAAGCCAGGATGGGGAGATGCATGAATGTTCTCTGCTCTGAATGGTAATTAATTCTGTGCTTACACCCTGTAGGGCTACCATCAGCCCTAATTCTGCCATGCCTTCATTCTGCAAACGCTTTTCTAACGCTTCATCAAATGAGGACTTAGAGGAGCATCTTGCCTGCCGGGTGGGAGGAGCTGGGAAGAGTGCCCCAGAACACAGGGAACAAAGGAAGCCAGAGAGATTGGAAGTGACTCAGTGAAAGCATCAGCTGACTAACCAGGATTAATGCTCACATATCCTGATTGAGGGTTAGCT